TAATGATTAAATGAAAAGCTTCCGCGCTTCGCGCGGGAGGGGGGGAAACCTGAATTCTGACGAGGATTAAGAGTCGAGAACCCTACAACGAATCGTATTCTTTCCTTAATAGTTTAATGAAACGTCAAAGCTTCCGCGCTTCGCGCGGGAGGGGAAAAACTAAATTCAGATGAAGATTTTGAGTCGAGAACGGTACAACGAATCGTCTTCTTTCTCTCATAATCTTATGAAACTTAAAAGCTTCCGCGCTTCGCGCGGGAGGAGGAGGGGGGGGGGACCTGAATTCAGACGAGGATTAAGAGTCGAGAACTCTACAACGAATCGTCTTCTTTCTCTCATAATCTTATAAAACTTAAAAGCTTGGGGGGGACCTGAATTCAGACGAGGATTAAGAGTCGAGAACGGTACAACGAATCGTCTTCTTTCTCTAATGATTAAATAAAAAAAGCTTCCGCGCTTCGCGCGGGAGGGGGGGAAACCTGAATTCTGACGAGGATTAAGAGTCGAGAACCCTACAACGAATCGTATTCTTTCCTTAATAGTTTAATGAAACGTCAAAGCTTCCGCGCTTCGCGCGGGAGGGGAAAAACTAAATTCAGATGAAGATTTTGAGTCGAGAACGGTACAACGAATCGTCTTCTTTCTCTCATAATCTTATGAAACTTAAAAGCTTCCGCGCTTCGCGCGGGAGGAGGAGGGGGGGGGAACCTGAATTCAGACGAGGATTAAGAGTCGAGAACGGTACAACGAATCGTCTTCTTTCTCTAATGATTTAATGAAACGTAAAAGCTTCCGCGCTTCGCGCGGGAGGGGGGGGAACCTGAATTCAGACGAGGATTAAGAGTCGAGAACTCTACAACGAATCGTCTTCTTTCTCTCATAATCTTATAAAACTTAAAAGCTTGGGGGGGGGACCTGAATTCAGATGAGGATTAAGAGTCGAGAACTCTACAACGAATCGTCTTCTTTCTCTCATAATCTTATAAAACTTAAAAGCTTGGGGGGGGACCTGAATTCAGATGAGGATTAAGAGTCGAGAACTCTACAACGAATCGTATTATTTTTTTAATAGTTTTAATAAAACTTCAAAGCTTCCGCGCCTCGCGCAGGAGGGGGAGGGAGGGGGGGGGGACTGAATTTAGACGAGGATTAAGAGTCGAGAACGGTACAACGAGTCGTCTTCTTTCTCTAATGATTTAATGAAACGTAAAAGCTTCCGCGCTTCGCTCGTGAGGGGGAACCTGAATTCAGACGAGGATTAAGAGTCGAGAACTCTACAACGAATCGTCTTCTTTCTCTAATAATTTAATAAAACGTAAAATTTTCCGCGCTTTGCGCGGGATGGGGAAAAACTAAATTCAGACGCGGATTAAGAGTCGAGAACGGTACAACGAATCGTCCTCTTTCTTTAATAGTTTAATGAAGCGTCAAAGCTTCCGCGCTTCGCGCAGGAGGGGGAGGGGGGCTGAATTTAGACAAGGATTAAGAGTCGAGAACTCTACAATGAATCGTCTTCTTTCGCTAATAATTTAATAAAACGTAAAAGCTTCCGCGCTTCGCGCAGGACGGGGGGGGGGCTGAATTACGACAAGGATTAAGAGTCGAGAACTCTACAACGAATCGTCTTCTTTCTCTAATAATTTAATAAATCGTAAAATTTTTCGCGCTTTGCGCGGGAGCGGAAAAACTAAATTCAGACGAAGATTTTGAGTCGAGACCGGTACAACGAATCGTCTTCTTTCTCTAATAATTTAATGAAACGTCAAAGCTTCTGCGTTTCGTGGAGGAGGGTGGGGGAAAACTCGCCCCTCTCTGCACCCCCCCCCCCCCCCTCCGCATTACGTCACTGTTGGTCATCGTTACGTACCAATATTTGGCTCGCATAATTTCAAATTTGGGCCCCCCCCCCCTAAGAAATCCTGGATCCGCGCCTGACATAATGAACCGATCAGAACTGATCTATTATAATTCATGCTTCTTACCCTTCGTGTGCTTGACCTAAAACCTTACAATCGCTAGGCAAACTGAGTCCAAAGTTCGACTTGTTTCACATGTGTTTTATAGTCAATGGCGAGCTTGCAACCTATTTTGATCAAATAACGGTGGGTGAACTTTCAAAAGTCAATGGGACATGAGGGTTCCAATGAAAGAGCTAGCCTAGTGATAACGTACGTCGGGGTGGATGTGCTTTTCGTTTAAACAAAAAATGAATTGTTAACGATTTTTTGGGGGGATAAAATTCCATAGGCTAACATGTTAGGCTGCTGACTCTGACGATATGAGGCGTTGTCAATTGAGACTAAACGGAGCTATATGGCCCTGTCTCACAAAGAGTTGATATTAATCGCAATTTATTTGCGATTGATAATTGAAATTGCAACTATGTACATAATAGATAGGAGATTGTAAACTTGCGATTGACTAGAGGACTTGTGATTGATGATATAGATCAATCGCAACTCTTTGTAAGACAGGGCTCTGGAGTATCAACCTGTTTAACAAGGATTTTATTGTGACTATCGTCTATGTGCATTATATACAGTGCGTCTCAGAAAAAACGAAACCGAGAATTATCGATGTTTTATCAAAACTTAATCACAGTTATAAATAATAAATGACACATATTTGTAAAGCTTAGATCCTCCTCTTTCGTTTGGTGCAACTCATATGATGCATATTTCACACATAAGCGATTACACACAATTTGAAGAGAGGAAACCAAAAAGTCCTTTGGCGGGCGGTATCTGAATTTCAAAGAGAAAATAGTATTCTAGAAAGTTCAATTTCTGCTTTTTCATATGACACCTCAATCAGGAAAAATCATTTAGGACTCATAAAGTTCTGTTTGTTTAAATTAATGCTTGCATTTTCATAATTTGATTGAACGAGTTCATTTTCACTGACTGCCTGCCGTAGCAACAAACAGAGTTGGCGAAAGACTTAACTCCGTTTTGTTGACAATCAGCCATGCACAAAGAAGACGGAAGACTTGATGCATGGCTGATCGTATGAGTTGCATCGAAAGAAAGAGGAGGATCTAAGCTTCACACGTATGTGTCATTTATTAATTATAATTGCGATTAAGTTATGATAAAACATCGATAATTCGCGGTTTCGTTTTTTTCTGGAACGCACTGTATACCTGTTCACTTCAAAGTATAAATATTAATCTAGATACTCCTGTATGTATCTGTATACTTCCCAAACAGATGCTTGTAATATTCCGTCTCTGTACGATACAAACGTGTTAAACACTGTATTAATATGCTTGCTATCTGCATGATAGACAGGACGCTGGTTTTAATACCTTACTATGCTGGTTTCACAAGTCATTTTCTACTATCAAGGCTTCAACATAGGTTATGTTCATATAAAAGTCACCAAGTTTGATGTATTCGTTTTGTCAGATAATAGATGTTTCTGAATCTGAATAAAGTGTTTAGAAAGTAGGCCCTACATGTATAGATGAATACATGGTTAATCCATACAAATTACCTAAAATAATGATTTGTGTACAGCAAGAATATATAAAGTCAACCTCATCGACCCGAATTCACATAGGAGGTTTTTCGACAAACCTAGGTTTATGTGCGTCATATAACGCGTTTCGACACGTTTCAAACAAAGGTTTGTAGTCGACAAACCTCCTTTGTGGATTCAGACCATCATATTTATATGGTATTCCATGGGTCAAAAGATTAAGGAGTAAGAAGAAAAGAAAGAATAGAATAAAACCACTCGCAAGAAACCCAAATTAGACAAATTATGCAAGCGCATATGCGTGAGTCAAGTAGTCTACTTACACGTCACTTTTCAGGGTGTATCTTTACTTTCCAGAAGTAATATTTGAAGGTCATAGTTTGAATGAAATAAAGCAACGTAAAACCCTTAGCATGCAGAGCACAATACTTGTTTATGATTGGAACACTTTAAGCATTAATCAGTAAGCTGCATGTATTTCTCCATGAAAATAACGTATACAATGCACGTATGAAGGAGGATTGTGGTTTAGGCAGAGTGGAATTTTTGTGCATATGTGACCCGGCACCACAAAACCAACAAAAAGTCGCAACCAGCGATTCTCCGTAATCAGCTAAAATGTCAATTTAGGTGAAAAAAATAGATTTTTGTTTTTTTGCATTTTCTGAAAGAGTGGTCTTTTCTGTACCTAGTATCAAAATTTGGAAGTCTAAAACATAGTAGAAGATGTGTTTTAAACGGTTTTTCTAGACCAGTTTTTTTCGCACAGCCTTCGGTCTCTTCCAAAATTTGATCACTTTTCCCGAGCGAAATTATCGTAGTCCGGAAATGGTCGGTCGTTGCTAACGGGTCGTGCTACGCGGGCTGTGATTGGTCCGTTATAGCAATCAGTGCGGCGCGCCATTTTGTTTGTATCCGCCTTCACATCCGAGTTCCAGATTTGCGTCCGTCTTATATTCTCCGTTAACGACTTCGAGTAGCTTGATTGTACATCACATATCCAGAATTTGTTGATCAAGAGTAAGAACATTATTATATTTTATACATTTGAGAGTGACAAGTTGCGAAAAAGTCTACAACGTCGTTACAATGCCAGGTTTTGTACGTGAGCAGAGCCGTGGGATGGTACCGGGGTGCACCAACGCAGATGCCCTGGTAGCTCGGGTGGTCAACGAAGCGATGATGCGGGGGCTAGCTGCGGGGGATCAGGCCAACCTTACAGCTTTGCTTACTGAACACTTCGGGCAAGACAGCGACGAGAGAATTCCTGATAATGACGAGGACATGTTATACGATGAGACTGACGACGAAATGGACATTGGAGAAGAGGGAGAGGAGGATATGGAACTGGATGAAGGTGAAGATGATGATTTTCAGCTTGTTGTCCCTAATTTGGCTGGAGAAGTGTTAGAAAGAGTTGGGACTGACGATTGGTCTTCGGAAGCAAACGGTGAAGAACTTCTTCGTGTTTATCATGGGGCGAGTGAGCGCGACAATCCAGTGCGGTGAGACTACCCAATGCTCTAAGAGAGCCGGACAAAAGGATAGACAGAGGGCAAGAGTCAGCTACATGGTAGAGGGGAAGCGTGTGTGCAGGGAGACCTTCATGTTTCTACACAGGTAAGTGCATTCTGTTGAATAGAAGCCTTTTGTTAACATGCTTTGCTTAAATATGCAACACCTTTACTCAAATGATTACTAACCAAAAATTTCACAAATCAATGTTGAATTCAATATTACTTTTAATAAAAAACTTTGCAAGGACTTGCCAGTTCGTATCCAAGCCGTGCACATTTGGACATGATTTTTTACACCTAAAATGCTATTGGCTAGAAGTAGATTATCATTTAATTTCTTATTGGAGGAATCATAAAATGGGCAGAGCATGAGAAAAGATATTATGAAATTTAACATGGTTTAATTACTGCCCCAGTTATTCCCGCAAACTTGATTTCCTGTATTTTACAATAATAGAAACCTTTTGATTTAGCATCAATTTGATTTGCCATTAATTGTGGTTCTGTTTTGTTTTATATGAAATGAACTGTCTATTTTGATCTTAAAAAATTAGTTATCTGGATAATGAAATGCGGTTGTTGATTCATTGAACCATGAAATCTTATAATTTCTTTATTTTCCTCTCTTATCTCACAGTGTTGGTAACACCCAGCTTCGGAATATCACCAAAAGCTACCTACAGAAAGGGGTCGTCCCTCCATCTAAGGCATCAGGTGGCATCAAGGCGAACAAAGCAGCTCTTTGCAGCGATGACATCAACAGAGTTGTGACGTTTATCACAAACTTCGCAGACACCCAAGGCCTCGTCATTCCAGGGCGCATCAGTGGCGTCAAGAGCTCCGATCCCCGTATAAGACTTCTCCCGACCAATCAGACGAAGGCGTCTGTCTGGAGAAGCTATGAGACGGAACTTGCCTCCAAGAATGATCAGCGTGTGGCAAAAGGTATTGTATTGTATAATTGTAAAGAAAAGTAGGCCTATATTTCCTGTTTATGATAATAACAATATAACAATCAGCATGTAGCAAAAATTATTGAATTGTTTAATTGTAAAGAAAAGTAGGCCTGTATTTCCTTTTATGATATAACAGCAACAAAGGTTGATAAAAAATTTGGGCTTCTAGATAGCAGGACACTTCAATAATTTATTAAGACAAGGGAAATCTGTTACTCATCTGTCTAAAGTGGTAAGCAATGTGCAGTTGATATGAAAAAGTTGTTCTCAGTAATAAATTTCATAACATGTATTAAGAAGTTGATGTTTCGAGTTTGCTCAATTTTATTTTCTACTCTTTCTCCCTTTATTACAGGACTTCCTCCTCATAGAAGTGCAAAGCAGACAACATTTCTTAATGTTTGGAGGAGATACTGCCCCTTTGTGATCACATCTCGCCCCAAAATTGACCTGTGCTGGCAGTGCCAGAAGAACAACTCTGCAGTGTACCAGAGCGCCAACCTAACTGAGGAAGACAAGCTCGGCCGTATCCAGACCCAGACAGAACACCTTGCCCATGTTGCTGTTGAGAGGAACCTATACCGGGACATGGTTCTTGACTCCCAAGCTGCCGTCAAGGAAGGGAGAGATGGGGAGGAAATGCACTACTCCTTTGACTATGCTCAACAGATGCATTTTCCCACCGATCCTGATCAGCCTGGCCCCATGTATTTCCTATGCCCAAGGAAATGCGGTTTGTTTGGAGTGACATGTGATGGTACAAACAAGCAAGTTAACTACCTCATCGATGAAGGGATGACTTCAAGCAAAGGTTCCAACTCTGTAATAAGTTATCTTCACGACTACTTCGATCAGTTTGGGAGGGGTGAGCGAGTGCTGCAGTTGCACTGTGATAACTGTGGAGGACAGAACAAGAACAAATTGCTCATGTGGTATCTCGCCTGGAGAACTCTGTATGGTTTGCACGACGAGATTGGTGTTCATTTCATGGTATCCGGACACACAAAGTTTTCACCCGATCGTGCATTTGGCCTCGTGAAACACCGATACAAGAGGACCTTCGTCAGCAGCCTGCAGGACATCAGTGACGTTGTAGAGGAGAGCTCTGTCAACGGACACAACATTCCTCGACTTGTGGGACTGGAGGATGGTACAGTTATCGTACCAAGCTACGACTGGCAGAGCTTTCTTGCACCGTTCTTCTTCCCTCTCGCTGGCATCAAGAAGTACCATCACATCAGGTAAGATAGAAGATCAGTCAATACGAACAAATTTCTTTTTAAATGTATGTTTAAACCACAAGCATGTTGTGAATAAAATTTCCTGCCCTAGCAACATGCACTTTCTCTTCTCTCATTCGTTCTCTTTGCCTCTCACCTTTGATCTATCTAGCCTGTTCAACTCATTGGTTTCTCTCATCACATGACTTTCCCCTGATTGGTTTATTTTGTTATGATGCCTGATTTGTACTTAGAGACATGTTATAATTTTGAATAATAAAGTGAAATTTGTTCCGTCCTTCTTCGATTGAGGTTGTCTTATCTACTGTCCTGAGTTACTTGAGTTTTGTTGGAGAGTTTAGATTGTTTTTGATGCAGCATGTTTGATGATTGATTTTGGTTAGCTAGAATATCCCTCGGTTTAATAAACACGTTACAATATGTTATTACCCTCCTTGTATTCGCTATGATGTATAGGTGGGCTCTTTGTTAAATAGATAGTTGAGTTCTGTTGCAGAAGGCGCTATACCAAAATATGTTTTTGTGAGATAATGGAAAAACTGAGTTTCAAATTTGAAAGAACATACAATTCAAACGACGAAATCATCTTTGTTTGATCAAAATCGGTTCAAAGACGGCTGAAATATCCATATGTATTACGACGTCTACTATTTGTGTACCACCACAAATATTCGAGAATTTGAAAAAACGAAATAGCGCCTTTTATGTTGTATTTCAGACAATGCCGATGTTGGATTTGTTGTTGTTGGCTTTGTCGTGTTGGTTTATATTACGCACAGCCGGCCCATGTATTGTTTAATTGACGGTCATCATTATTTTTTGGAAAATGGAGCTGAATTGGTATGATCGCATTGGCTGCATTTTACACATTATGGGGTCTAAAAGTACCTTCATAACAATTTAGGTCCCGAAAAAAGGCACTAGAAATGTCATAGATAAGAATAAGAGCAATAAGCATGCACTTTGAAGGCATTTGCGGTTTGAAAACAAAACTCGGCTATCCCTTTAACAAGGTTCGAAGTCAATATTTAGTTGAAACAAAGGTTTTTTTTAAATCATGAGTTCGATACAAAACAAAACTGACCAATAAATACAAGATTCTTTACTCATATGATCTTATTTATTTTGTTCTGGGTTATATCACTCTCTTTTATAAAAGCTGCCCCTTTCAATAAAGATTAGTAATAGTAGTAATAGTAATAATCGTAGTAATACACTCAAAAACAAAAGCTGAAATTGGATACTATTTATGGTTAAGATTTTCAAATAACTGCCGTCGGTAGAGAACTAAATGTTCATAAATATTACATAATAATAATAATATTACATAATAATAATATTACATAATAATAATAATATTACATAATAATAATAATAATAATATTACATTTGTAAAGCGCCTTTTCATTAGATACAAGGCACAAAAACAGAAAAAAATACTAACAGACAAAAATAAACATCATACGAAGCTTACATTAATTATAAACCGAGAAGAACAAATTAGAAAAACACTACTAAAAAGAAATAATAATAATAATACATTTATAGAGCGCAGAAACTATCCAACATTAAGTGTGAGAGTATGGCAATTCTTAAGCAGACGGGGGGAGGAGTTCCGGGGTTTTGGGAGCAATAACGAAAACTGTTTACTGGTAGAGGGACGTTAAATGTTTTAGTACTGACTGATCGTGTATTACACTTGCACGTGTGCGAACGGAATAGATCACCTGGGTATGCTTTAGCCTGATTAGAGACTGCAAGATTTGCACGTCGACTTAGTGGACCGCTACGTGTGACATCCTTTAAAGGCACTGGCATTGCCTTAAAAGACATCACAGCCTTAAAAAGACGTGGAAGTGCCTTAAAAGGACGTGACAGTGCCTTAAAAGGACATCACAGTTCCTTAAAAGGACATCACAGCTAGTGCCGAAATCACAGTGCCTTAAAAGGACATCACAGCTAGTGCCTTAAAAGGAAATCACAGTTCCTTAAAAGGACATCACAGCTAGTGCCGAAATCACAGTGCCTTAAAAGGACATCACAGCTAGTGCCTTAAAAGGAAATCACAGTTCCTTAAAAGGACATCACAGCTAGTGCATTAAAAGGAAATCACAGTGCCTTAAAAGGACATCACAGCTAGTGCCTTAAAAGGAAATCACAGTTCCTTAAAAGGACATCACAGCTAATGCCGAAATCACAGTGCCTTAAAAGGACATCACAGCTAGTGCATTAAAAGGAAATCACAGTGCCTTAAAAGGACATCACAGCTAGTGCATTAAAAGGAAATCACAGTGCCTTAAAAGGACATCACAGCTAGTGCATTAAAAGGAAATCACAGTGCCTTAAAAGGACATCACAGCTAGTGCATTAAAAGGAAATTACAGTGCCTTAAAAGGACGTGACACGTACAGCAGTCCAATATGTCGATGTGCAAATCTAACTGTCCCTATTAGGCCTAAAAAAAAAACTTGTTGTATTGCCCTTTGCGTGCCAAAACATGGGTCGGTCGGTCGGAATTTTTTTTGTTGTCGCCCTCTTTGGGCCGATATTTTTCAGTTTTTAATGTCTTTTTTTCCTTTTTTTCCCCGCCCTCTTTTGGCTGATATTTCTCTGTTTTTAATGCTGTAATCATCTTTTTCACCTCATAATAATCCATGGTTTGCAATGTTATGTTGATCGAGATGTTTACGCTAGTAGGATTTTGAATTACTAGGGCAGAAGACGAGTGAGAATTTGAGAACGATTTGATTTGATGCATTTATATCCCATTTATCCCAACAGACAAAATACTTGTTTTTTTATTCATTAATAATATTTAAAAAATCTAAAAAACGGTTTACAAAAAAAAACTTTTTTTAAATGCCGACCGAAGATTTTCAGATCTTTGGGTCGTTCGCAAAGGGCAATACAACCAGTTTTTATTTTAGGCCTTATTGAAACACTTGTAAATGAGAGGGTCTTCTGTATGATACGATCAAGAACGCGCAGCGAGTGAAGATTAGTGATGGGAGGCGAGACGTTTACTCTCTTTTGTTTCCAATGAATGAGCCGTGGTGCTTTATGTTGGGGGAGCTGAAGGGGGTTAAGATCATAAGCGATATACCATATAGAAATGAATTACACTAATCTACGCGAGACTTAACAAGAGATCTTGAAACTACATTGAAGAATCTTTGTATATACGAACTTCCTTGTTCTACTGAGGTTACGTAAATAGAAATTAACATATTTTGATACATTTAAAACATAGTTTGACATATTCATATGCTTGTCAAAGCTAATACCTACATTTAAAACATGATTAACATATTCATATGCCTGTCAAAGCTTACACCTACATTTAAAACATAATTTGACATATTCATATGCGTGTCAAAGCTAACACCTACATTTAAAACATAATTTGACATATTCATATGCGTGTCAAAGCTAACACCTACATTTAAAACATAATTTGACAAATTCATATGCTTGTCAAAGTTAACACCTACATTTAAAACATAATTTGACAAATTCATATGCTTGTCAAAGCTAACACCTACATTTAAAACATAATTTGACATATTCATAATCAAAGCTAACACCTACATTTAAAACATGATTTGACATATTCATATGCTTGTCAAAGCTAACACCTACATTTAAAACATAATTTGACATATTCATAATCAAAGCTAACACCTACATTTAAAACATAATTTGACATATTCATAATCAAAGCTAACACCTACATTTAAAACATGATTTGACATAATCATATGCTTGTCAAAGCTAACACCTACATTTAAAACATATTCATATGCTTGTCAAAGCTAACACCTAATATGCGAAGAGATTGTGAAGGTGAAATGATGATATGATCGTTAATCTTAAGATGGACATGATGTAACTGTTGATGGTACTTTTGAGATGCCGCAATCATGAATTCTGTCTTGTCCTGATTAAGGTTCAGTGTATTAGCCAACATCTATGACTGAACATCAGACATACACTGTTGTAGTTTGCGCAGTGTATTGTTGATGGTTTGGGGAACCTTCGGATTACATGCGCAGTGTATCTGGATGTAGTCGGCGTAAATATGGTTTAAGAAATAGTATTTATGTAAGATATCTACCACTGGCTGAATGTAAATGTTAAAGCAATGAGGGCCGACCACAGAGCCTTGGGGACGCCATATTCTTGACAAATTTGTGTTATTGTAGTATAATTTATTAACAGTTTATATGAAAGATGTTAACGATATGAAGTGTCCCCCTTTGTATGTTCGAATAAAACGACTTTGTGGGAAGTCCTGTTTCGATTTCAAATCAATGATCGATAAAGATGGAGAATATTTTCCAAACCATGGCCCTTTTTGGAGCTGATGTTTTTTCTCACTACTCATTTCCTTCGCAGGATTCAGCAATAGGAACTCGCTGATAGTAAGTGTTATCGGATGAGATACGAACAAGCTTGACCACACCCATCAGGATTGCCATAGCAACCAATGTTGCTATCATTCCAAGGAGGAGCATCGCAAGAGGGTTGTAGGAAGCCAAATCTGTGGATATTGGAAAATATAAAATATGGTAGAACAATCGGATGTGGATTAGATATATTCACAAGCGTATCCATGGAAACAGGGAACGACCCTCCTTCCCGTCCCCCTCCTCCCCGTCCCCTCCACCTTTAAGTAGAAAATAGAAAAGAGCATCTGCTAATGGCATATTTTAAGTTATTGCAATCCTTATTGTGTCCTGTAAAGAATTATCATAACTGAGTGTGCTAAGCTATCTATGAGGAAAATGTTACAATTTCAGATTTTTTAAATGGTTGTTGTTCCAAAATAGTACATACCATTAGTAGCCATATCGCTGGTTGAGCGACCGATGTGGATCGGACCATTACTGATGGTGTGAGTGGACATAACGGACGAAGATCGACGTTTGCGGCCGGGAGGTGGAGATTCTGAGGGGCATCCTGCGTCTCGAAACTTTTGAGCCTTCGCGGCACCACATACCTTCACTGAACAATGAATGTACACCTGAGAAAAATAAAATATGATGATGCATGCATTACAATAGATTTTTTGATACTGTCTAAACATCCAAACAAATGTGCTGTTAAAGTTTTCCTAAAATTACGCTTCAAAATTATCAAGAAGTGCCTCAAAAAAAGTAAAAATATTTGAGTGACCGGTTTTACCATACTCGTTTTCCCCAATAGACTGTAGTCTTAAGAAAACCGTTTAGCAAACGGTTTTCAAAATGTGTAACTCCAATCATAAATATCTTGATAATCAAATATGCGATCGGCTTGTACAAGTCATGGGGTTCCTGATTGACCTAAAGTTTATAATTATGATTGCAGCATGAGCTGATTCCAGGATTTTTTTTCAGAGTCTGAGACAAAGTTACCGGATCCCTTTAAAGGGATAGTTGAGTTCTTGTTTCAGACCGCAAATGCCTTCAAAGGGCATGGTTATTGCTCTTATTCTTATTTTTGACATTTCTAGTGCCCTTTCAGGACCTAAAATTGCTATGAAGGTATTTTTAGATCCAACATGTGTGAAATCTAGCCAATACGATCATACCAATAATAACAATACATGGGCCGGCTCGCTGTGCGTATTATAACAAATACGAAAAAGCCAAAAAAGCCAACATCGGCATTGGCTGGAATAAAACGTATAATGTGCTATTTCGTTTTTTCAACAGCTGGTTCAAATTATCTGATATTTGTGGTGGTCCACAAATATTAGAAATGGATATTTCAGCCGTTTTTTAACCGATTTTGATCAAACAAAGATGATCTTGTCATTTAAATTGTATATATGTTCTTTCAAATTTGACACTCAAGTTTTTCATTATCTCACAAAAAAATATTTTGTGTAACGCCCTCTGCAACAGAACTCAACTATCCCTTTAGGTTGGTTTTAATAGAAGCAGAAAAATCGAGAGAAATGGGTCAGTGAAAGTTTTAACTAAAAAAACGATTAAAGATAAGAAAGTTATGAATTTACGAAGAAGCATTCAACAAAAAATTGGCTTCTCTTTGATGTATCTTGTGAGGTCCATGTAATAAACGTCAAGAATCTAAATTTATCTTCAGAAATTTCAAACCATACATTCGCCCTGAATATGATTATTACAAATATGCTTTTTTATCAAACCCCATTATGAAACATATCTATTCCGTCATCAATAAATAAGAAAATGAAAGTTTATGTCTATGTATAGAGCAAAATGGAGAAGAGCTCGCGGCAAGGTACCTTACAATTCGTGTTTCACTAAAGGCAACATCATGTTGCTATAACTTTCCTATTTCTAACCGGATATTGCTCAAAATTTGTTACTCTCATTTTCTGCTGTTATTAAAAAAAATTTAAAGGGCTTAAAAAAAGTCTTTAATAAAATGACGTGAAATGTAATACGATTCAAGTTCCTGTATCTTGTACCATAGAGCTCAGTGAAAGTGTTCAAGACCTGGCTTGCACGATGTCACCATTCATTTACACGTAGGTAATTACTGAACCCAAAGAGACAGGGCAGAGATGACTTAACTGTGGGCCGAGATTCTACAATTTATCTTTCTTGCGATATACTCATGTAATGGGAAAACACAATTCTAATAAAATTAGGTGTATAAGTTCATGCCATCTAAATATTTTACCTCAGTGTAATCTCCAACGAAGGCAAATGCCTTAAAAGAAAAGCCTTCTCGATTCAATCCAGGTAGATGTTTCATATTAACTGTGTCCTCATCTGGGCAACTGTTGAACCAATTGAAACAATGTACTCTAGTTAGGAGTCAGATCCGTGAGAGAACGGCTAGGGAGTCATGCAATTTCGTTATGAAAGAAGAAGAATATTAGTAATAATAATAATGATAATAATAACAATAATAATGGTTTTGATTACAGTACTCATAACGATAACATGGCTTATTTCGTTCCATCGGTTCTTTGCGTCTTCGGTTTACTTAAAAGTCTCGTGAAAAATCCAGTCGTGATTCCCCAAGGGTCAGGTATAACATTTGTGAAAAACTTCCCTCTTATAAAGCCACACTGTACTACTGGTAGCTACTTGCTCCCTCTATATAGAAAACTTCCCCAATCGGTGCCTGTTGGTCCCCCATGTTCTTTTTTTCTTATGTTAATTGAGAGCTGAGTTAATGAGATAGCCACCTGTCAATGAACTCTGGCTGAACCTGTACAGCTCGCCTTTAACGCCAAAGTGTTGGCTCCAGTTTACCATACACTTTCTGATAAACCTACAACAAATCTGAGAAAACTCATGTATCGGCCTAACGCTTTTAAAACAAGATATATGCATTCATTAAAAAAGGCTAGCGATCAAAATCTCGTTTTTGATGATATCCTTTCAAAAATGTGTTGCTCTTATTTTCATTTGTTTGGCAATCAGTCAGGACTAAATATTGTTGCCACTAATATTCATTGTACTATTTTGTATTCTGTATCCGTATCTCAAAGAGCATCTCTGAAAGCTTCTGATTATTTGCATTCAAATTACCTGACCATTGGGGGATATCTTCACAAAATATCGTTTAATCCGACAACATGAAGCACACGACTTTTCGTAATTTTGAGGTTACTTTTTAAGAAAGATTGTAGAACCCGACAGCCCGACCCGACTTGAACACCAGACGGAACGAAGTAAGCCGAGAAGCCTCATCAGCATCAATGCCAATTTTTCTGAGGGCCTTCAAATTATTATTAACCAAGCAGTAAACCAGTTACCGAATAACACCTGGGTGGAGAATGGCAAATGTGGATTAATGTCTTGCCAAAAGACCTAAGCGCCAGACTTGTATTGGAACCTCTAACCTTTGGATTAAGAGTCAAGTGAATGAACCACTATCCCATCACTATATGATATATATTTCTTGAGGCTCATGAAAAGTTCTACTAACCCTGAAGAAATTAGAGAGTAAAGTAGGTTGGCAGCCGAGTCTTCAGTGGTTGTCGCCCAGCAGCGATCAATAAACAAACCAATACCTGGTACAGACTCAAGGCCCACACCAAAGTAAAGGTCATCTCCTTTCCAGACAACGGAAGTGGTTTCGGATTGTGTTTTATTAAAAGAATCTGTCTGGAACCTTTCCAGTCTCAAATTGAAGTCACCAGAGCCCTTGTCACTAAATGCTACCTCACCAAGCTGTGGTTTGAAGGACCCACTTATGACTTCCTCTTTCTTGAGGCAACATTCAACCCGAACCTGCATGTGATATTCACGGGTGATTATGGTACTGTCTTCCGAACCAGGCTTGGCGTAAGTTATTACGTTGATGAAGGTTATAGTTGTGTTATCTTCCTGTAATGACAGCAAGTAATATCAAATTAATGAATGTTACGAAAACAACAAATGAAACCCAGTATCCAGTTTGATTTTTGTCAAAGACTGATGTATACATTGTAATGTATAACACTTTCTTTTTGCGATTTTAAGATGACGCTGAGGTTAATGTTGTATCTCTCTCTGTCCTGTAATGGCATTACTGAATATGAACATGAATCAGTGACACATGGAGTTACTGTTCGGGCTATATCACCGGTTATATCTCCAATGCTGAGTTATATAAAGAATTACTTCCCATTACAATAATAAATTATACCATCATGATCTAATCATCTAATCACCCATACCAAAATACTGGTGTTAAATTTTGTTGTAATTATTGGTGTCCGGAGGCTTTGGGACAGAAGCCCCTCTCACGCCCCCCCCCCCCCCCCCAAGTAAAGGAAAGACGAATGCTCCTAAGAGACCAACGATTTATAAAGTGAATAAATTGAGAGTCGCGCTCTGTCCTTCAAGACATGATAGGCAGTTTCGTTGAATTATGGTCATAACTCAGAGCGGCGACCGATCGATTTGTGGCCTGCTCGGCAAAAACAAGCAGTGCCCAGGCGGCTGCCGCTCGGTGGCCGGACGAAGTTGGCTATAAACTCGCCGCCCGGCCGCCGAGCAGGCTACTCTTGGGGATGTGACCATAGCTTTACTGACCATCCGGGAGACGTGAAACAACGTTGTATAATGCGTATCAAATGACAAGTACATGTATATGTTAGGATAACAATATAGATAGCTTGAGACAGAAGTGAAACCCAAGTTTCTCCAAATTTCAAAACCAATTATGAATTGCGTTCTATGCCAGATGATGAAGAATAAAAAATGTAGATTTATTACATAGGACCTAAAATTAATATGCCTCTTACTCAAAACGAAGGATTTTAAATATGCTTCTAGTTGTCGTTCTATAGAATTAGCATAATGCGAGTAAATCATGTAAATTATATAAAATAAAAACGTATATCATTGATAATAACTCACTTTTACATTCGTATCTGCCCATAATATCAATGTTTCATGTGATATGAAAATGGACAAAATACATTGTTGACTTCTTTGTGCAGCAAATTCACTTTCTTAATTGATTTTAATATCAAGTGCCGTCGTAGCGGAATAAGATTTCAAAAAACATTATCACCGTCTTATGATATTTCCTAAGTTTACGAAGAGGAAAAAACACAGAAACGTCAACAGCACTGCAGAATGGGATGCAGAGCAGGATAGATTCCGGGACTTTGACAATCGGTACTTAAAGAATAAAAGAATATTTTGAATGAACAGAAACAGAAATGCATTTATGCCAGCATGTCATGCATGTCCCAACAAACTTCAAATTAAACATATTGAGGCTCTGCCCCTGGACCCCACGCCGCTAGGGGATGCGCTCTACTGGGACCCAAAACATTATGTTTAAACCCCTATTCACGCATCCCGCACACGCCCATGGTATTGGTAGCCATGGCAACACGAGTGATTCATACCAGTTATCATTTAAGGAGTCATACCTCAAATGTGGTGCCACATTGATCGTAGCCTGTAGTGAGAGTGATCTCAGTGCTAGTCGAGCTGTTTACACCGGAGCAGGATTGGGATCGGTTTCGAAAATGAACAGCAGATGCGTCACCTGGGACTAGCTGTTCAGCTATATTGACGGTCATTGAATCAGTTCCACACTCAACATATGTCTCTGGTATATTGAAGAGATTGTTTATAAAAAGGCAAAGAAAATATCAATTACATTACCCTTTTCATTTTATCTCAGGTGTCAGAAGCATTGCAAATATTGCCGTAATTCATTAGGGCGTGAATGGGACGAAACTCCAATTGAAGCCCCATTGAATGTCCCCATTGAATCCCAATTGGCAATTTGGAGTACATGGAAGTGAAACAATGGGTACCCATTGATACAAATTGGTAATTGGTCCCCATTGAAACCAACTGGTAATTGGTTTTAATGGGGAACAATTGCCAATTGGTTCCAATGGGGACCAATTGCCAATTGGTCTTAATGGGTACCCATTGTTTCACTTTCCATGTACTCCAAATTGCCAATTGGTATTGAATTGGGATTCATTTGCATTAACTTCATCACATAGATCATTTGAAGTGAATTCAAGAGTTACATTTACAGTGAAACAGGCTCGTACACATATATATACTAAATATGCATGTTGTTTCTTGGTTAGTAATCATATAATCAATATATCTATTGCTAAAACATGAATGTAATTGTTACATGATCAGACAAAATAATCTATAGTTTAATAATTGCCGAAGGAAAATAGAAATCACAAAATTGATGTACATTTTCATAATTTGCTTACCAAATCATGATACATTTATTTTTCTGTAACACGTGTAAAGTGATAATGAATATTCATGAGATGCCTAGATCTGTTGGTTTCTATTGGTTTGGTTTGGTTTCTATTGGTCCTATTGGTCGTATTGGTCCTAATGGTTTCTATTGGTCCAATTGGTTTCAATTTAGCATTGGTCCTATTGGTTTCTATTGATTTCAATTGGCCCTATTAGACTTTAATGGAATTTCAATTGGTTTCAATTGGACCAATTATTGAAGTCCAGATTAAGGCCAATTGGTCCAATTGAATCCAATTGGGGACCCATTAAAGTATAATGGGGCCTAGGCCAAGGGGGCCAATGGGGCCAATCTGGACCAATCGAAACCAATTGGGGACCTATTAAAGTTTAATGGGCCTAGGCCAATGGAGCCAATTTTTCCAATGGGGTCAATCTGGACCAATTGAAACCATCTGAAGTCCTATTAAAGTCCCATTGAAACCTGTTAAAACCTATTGAGACCAATTAAAACCAATTGGAACCAATTGAAACCAATTGAAAGTGCGTGTGTGTTCATGCAAACGGGTTGTTCAAATATCCTGTGTAATCAAATCATGAACAGGAATTCGTTCAGGACAAAAACAAATATTAAAGATACTTACGCTTATCTTGACACATATCGCCATCAAATCCTGCTGGGCATGTGCAATTGCCTTCCTCACAGCTCGCTCCATTGAGACAACGGTTATTACATTCATCTGAAAAGAATTAGAAACAATAGTTGCTCTATCAAAGGATGTGGCACCAGAAAGTACGAAGGTAAAGACCAAACTATGAAACTTTTGTTGTTGTCACTTAGAGTTCGAGTTAGATTAACTGTTGCTATTTTTCTTTCTTGTTATTAAGCTATCAATATGGTTCTTTATAAAGATGAGGTTGAGTTCTGGTAATGATAACAAATAAATTCTCACATAATCCAACAAAACTTACACTCGGTATGACCACAATCAGGGTGCAAAACCATTCGCACTTGGATCCAAAAATGAAGTATGCAATAGAGCAGTTTCATCAACCCCAAATTGTTCATCCATACCCTAGGGTTAATACCCTACAATATCCTGGAGGAAACTATCTTGGTTATCATGTTATGAACAGCAACACAACAGGGGGTGGCAGGTGTCACGGACACTACACAAAGCCTTACCTTACCTTAATACACAAATATTTTGCACTTCTTTGGGGAATTTCTTGGCCATTTGTGAAAAATAAAACAATTCACACTCACTTCAGTCCATAAATTAGACGCAGTATAAACATCAGAGTTAACACTAGGTCAAATCTGATAAATGCCATTTTGTAAAAACCTGAAACTTTTTAAAAAGTCATGATGAACAGGAATTCGTCCAGACATTGGTAAATAAGACAAATTCCAAACTTTAGTCCATCTGTATACATATAAAAACAAATCAAACTGCTAGGAAGGCTCGTTTCATAACATAAGTTGTCTAAATAACTTTTGTTGCTGCATATCTTGAGGCCAACAGAGAGTATCTTTTCAAATCCTCATTACCAAGTCTCTTGGATATGACTCAAAGGGAAGTCCACCCTTTCAATAGAAGCAGAAAAATCTGACAAAAAAAATAATAAGTTATTCTATGTAATTCCAGAGGTGGCCCCATTTGGGTATTTCTTTTCTCCTTCTCCATCTTCTCTGTTCACTTTTAAATATTGAAAAAAGCCTAATTTAGTCATAAGAATATGAAAGAAGCAGAACTATTTAGACAATTAGGGAAGATGACGGAAGCATGATATAATGAAGGAAAGCATGAGGAAAGAAGGAAGAAGAGAATAAACAGGATAACAACTTAAGAAAAGAAAAAGAAGAATAAAGAAAAAGATAATAAGAAATAAGGAAAAGGAAGAGCAAGAAATAAAAAAAAAAAGGAAGGAGAGAAGGGAAAAAAGGATAATACAGTACATCATGTAGCATATTCAAGGTGAGCCCCTTATTAGACATAAGCATGGAAACCCTAGATACAAAAAGACGATGTACTTCATTATTTTGAGAAGTAACTCTCATTAGACCTTACAAGATTTGCTCAGTGAGACCGAAAAACAATTTGTTTGGAAAAGAAAGTTCCCATGGTGTCCTTGTGGTGCGGGATGCAATGTGCATCTGGAGAAGATTGCACTGCATGTGTTGTCCTCGTATCGTATGTGCTGAAGGATATTTTCAGTATTTTTAGAACCCATTTGTAGGAAGTCATTAAAATAGCGTTGGAAAATTTGAGATCGTAAAAAGACCACAGTCTGTACTTTATGAAGAGTATTTCGACTAACTTAGGGCGCGTTCATGCTTGATTTTGAAGGCAGAATGAGCGATTTGTAACGCTCATCGTAAACGCTCATCGTAATCGCAGTTCCACGGTGCACTGTTCATGCTCACTTATAGGCAATTCTCCTTGGGTGGCCTTCAGCTGGATTCGCAAACCTGTGTGCGCATGCTACGTAGACCCACTAGAGGTCAGTGCGTTGACCCCATTTAAACGCGTTTACAAATTGTAAACGCATCTTTTTGTGAGTTTACGATCGGCGATCGTGATCGCCGTTTTTCGGTGATTCTACAAAAGTGAGCATGAACGCAAGCGTGTTTTAAACTAAACGCGTAACAGATGCCTGATTCAAGCATGAACGCGCCCTAAGTGATTTACTTGTTAAAACTTAGACAATGTACGCCGAAAAACAGGAACAAAGCATTAACCAAAAAAGTGATAATTGATCTTTATTTAAAATTATAGTATAATCAATAATCGTGTATGATAATTTTAATCAATAATCCTCAGATGTTCGGTGATCGTTGTTGGTGGTAGCAATTACACCAGTGTTCATAAGATCTTCAGCTGTATATACAAATGTCGTAAACAAGTCAAAACCGACCCTAGTCTATTTTTTGCCTCTTTCTCTCTCCATCAAATATGCTTAATTTATCGAAAGAAATTGTGAGCAAAATCTTAGACTAATAGACGATGAGATATTTCATGAGTTATATTTAAATCCCCTCAAAGGGGGTGTCCTCAAAAGAAGGTATTTTCCCATAGTCCTCACGAGACACTAGTCATACGCGTACTGGTGCGTGCGCAAGTGTTTATTTGTGCGTAGGCATAAGCTACAATGTAGTGACTTATACATTTTGTAGGTAGGCAATTAAATGATTAAAACAATGTATTTCCTCATGCATCATGAATATTTGATGTCATAGACAGTTTTTACGTTGTTAAAATTATTTTAGAACACTGTTACCCCAAAAAAGAGATACAGATTGGCTTGCAGTCCTTGGTATTATTCCTTCTGTAGGGTCCGTAACACTGGCTCCTACTCTTTTCTACCCTCGATAATGAAAATAAAACATAATAATGCATTTAATTTTATACTTTATTACATCTAACTAATATTCTTGAAATAAAATATTGATATTAAATTACTCGTAAGTCAATTATTTTTAAAAATGTTTTAAATTAAATTCATGGAAACTTATTTGTTTGCAAAGTTTCATAACCAGGAGAAAACCTTCCAGGGGAAAAGATTTTTGTGTTAATTAATTGGGAAGAGCAACTGTATCAAATCAAATTTAAAAGAAAAATTAGTAGTATTTAGTTATTAAGCTGTATTGTTTCACCATCACACACTTGTGTTACGGACATTACAAACGTTACGGACACTGCAAATGCTATTTATTAAATTACAAAAAAAAATGTTATGCTAAGCTGAATATTATTATACCACATCTAGTCCCTGGGGGCAGTTAAACAAAGCAAACTATATAAAAACTTTGAAAACATTTGCATATACATGTAGCAGGAATGACACCGTAAGGACACTACATGAAATTCCGGAAAAAGTTTATGATCGCAATGGGGGCACATTTTTTGTAAAGTTTGTATCTACATATATGTTTGATTTTTTGTTTCTGATGACAGGAAAACATGTTACTCAGAAAATATAACCAATTGCAATTAATATAATGCTAAAAGAAAATGAATTAAAAAGGCAAAATTATGCACATAGCTGTTTTTCAAAAAAGCGTAACGTTTGTCTCTCTTCACAGAAATAACCACTGTATCGCAATTCTTGGGTTAATTCTCAAGCCGTAACAAAAATACTAAGTGGAGATAAAAATGACTAAAAGATGGCATGAGAAGGTTTGGCCTATCTTGTGTAATTCCATGGTAATACCTTACCCTCTATTTATACCATTCTCACACAGCCAACACAAATGAAATTCCAACAAAAGTTGCTGCCTGATGAAGAACTCATATGGTCCAACATTTCAGGCCACAAGACATTTGATTAAATGACTTTGTGTTTCCAGGAGAGATGCTTAACACTGCAGGTAGAATCGCAAAGTAAACCGACTGGATGTAAAGATAACAAATAAATGACATGTGCCAAATGATTTTGGTAGAAATTGTATGGGGGCTGAGTAATGAGCATAAGCATCTCGAGGTAAGTAGGCCCGATACCATGTGCCAGGCGCGTACGCAGGATTTTTTCCAAGGGGGGTGGGGGGTGGGGGGGTTAACAATTTCAAATCGGGCCGAAAATTTCGCAACGCCTAAGCCACCCGCTGAATAAGCGGGGGGGGATAAGAGCACTTTTTTTTTAAGGGGGTCCCGAAATTTGAAAAATTTACCGATTGACATTTCTTTTTTAGGTCACCTATTACCCACTAATTTTTTTTTTTTTTTTTAATAAATAAATTTTAAAAAACGCGGGGGGGGGGGGGTCCTCCAAAACACACACATAAGAAAACATTGAGGGGGACCCCCCCCCCCCCCCCCCCCCTGCGTACGCGCCTGCCATGTGCCTATCACGTACACAATGTCCAAATGAGAGTTGTGATTTTAATTGAACATGATTTATTTCATAAATTCTTTAGACAGACTAACATGTTTCAGATGATTTTCAGCAAGTTTGCGTGAAGTTGTTTTTATTTTACTGGTTTAAACGATCTCGATATACGATGCTCATACCAGAGCTAAATACTAGTTTTAAAGGCATCGCTTAATAATGTTAAATCTGAGATGCATGGTACATAAATAAAAAGAATACTAAAAAAATAACCTCTTCTGGGAGTGAATTTTAAGAGATATTAAAGGATAGTGCCTTTTGAACTAAATTTAAACGTTATCGAAGTTTAAAATGTGTACTTCATTTTACGTTTTCATCTCACCTAAAAACCGCCAATTTATCACTCAACTGGAGTTACCTCTGTAAATCAAGTGTTGATGACCACTTGACCAAGCAACGATTTTTTTTGTCCGTTAACCGATGGTGGTGATAAATAAGTAATTATTTGGTCTTGTAAGCACCTTTATCGATTGGTTTCACAGGTTATCCAAGGTTGATGGTAATAATCACGTTACTTACACCAGCTAATCGTCTTATTGTTCTGTCCGTGAATCTCTGGTTATATTAAATTAGTAATTCGGAGGTGTCTTACACACCTCTTTAAATGGTTTCAAAGTTACCATAACTTTCTTGGTGATGATCCCGTGGCTCAAACGGATTTTTAATCTAAGCTGGGCATACCTGACTTTTAGATGTGAAAAATTAGTAATTATTAGGTGTCTTAAAACACCTTTTAAAATGGTTTCAAAGTTATCATAACTTTCCTGGTAATGATCACGTGGCTCAAACTGATTACTAATCTAAACAGTGAATCGGTGATATTTAGGTGTGAAAAATTAGTGATTCTTAGTTGTCTTAAAACACCTTTTTAAATGGTAGTCAAAGTTGTCATAGGTTCCGCGATGATGATCTCGTGATTCAAACGTATTATTAATCTAAGCTGGGCATCCGTAATTTCTAGGTGTGGAAAATTAGTCATTCTTAGGTGTACCTTTTAAATGGTAGTCAAAGTTACCATAACTTCCGTGATGATGATCTCGTGACTCAAACTGATTATTAATCTTAGGTGGAAATCCGTGATTTAGGTGTGAAATATTAATAATTCTTGGATGTTTAAAACACTCTTAAAAATGGTTTCACAGTTACCATTTAAGTTTCGTGGTGATAATCCCGTGACTGTATTCAAATTTCAAGTTGCACCAGTTGATAACTGGTCTGTGGGCATATTTCCAATTGCACCAGTTGATGATTGACTGTTGGCATCTTTCCAGCTGCACGAGTTGACACCAGTTAATTTGCATATTGAATATAGGGTGCTTAAATCTATATTTATTTAACAATTTATCTGAATTTACAGCATATTTCTTAATTACTAGATTTAGTTATATGCAATTCATTTCGACAATGCTACAAAATATAAATTGCCAATTATTAAGACATGTCACTACTTTGTATACATTACATTTAATTAAACATGAATGAGGGAAACATTCACAAGGAATAAAATAAATTCAATGCAATACAAGTATAATTTTTTTTATGGACAAATTTTGAAGCATTGAAAATCTAAGTCTACTTATTACCAATGCCTTTACATTAATACAGACGAACCAGCGTTGAAGTGTTATTGCCATTGTCAAAATGTATTAGTACAAGTGCTATACTTATACCCTAAATTACTAATTAAGGTCTTCCACCGAGGTCCATGAACAATGTTTGGAAGTTTTACCAAATGCTTCAACTGTCCCAGCTAGACCGATAAAATCAAACTGGTATAACCGATTCAACTGGCCTCAGTCAATTGGTCTATTTCAACTGGATCAGTTGGCCCATTTCAATTTCCAGGGATACCAGTAGGCTTACCTGGTTAATCAACTGGACCATTTGCAACTAGTTTTTCGTTCTGGGATGTTTGCACCGACAGTGCCTGTGATATGGTGTAATATTGAAGACCTAAAAGATTGCGCTTCAAATGATCATAAAATGCATCAAAAAAGTAAAAAATCTTTGAGTGACCGGTTTCACCATACTCATTTCCCTATTAGACTATTGTGTTATATAAACCGTTAGGAAAACGAAAAATGAAATTTCCATTTCCAATCATAAATATCTTGATAATCAGACAGGCGATCGGCTTGTAAAAGTCATGGGATTCCTGACTGACATAAAGGTTTTTAATTATGATTGCAGCATGAGCTAAATCCAGGAGTTTGTTTCAGAATCTGAGGTAATGTTACCGAGTCAATTTAAAGATAAACTTAAGTTCCGGTAAAAAAAACAAAATGAATTCTCACAGAATCAAACGAAACTTACACTGAATTTTCAAGATTACAAATAAATGTCATGTGCCAAACAATTTTGGAAGAACATGTATAGTGGCTGAGTAATGAGCATAGAAAGATAAGGAAATCAAGGTAAGCTAGCCCCGAAACCATTTGTGAACCTATTTCTGTGTACAGTGCTTGTTGCTTTACCAAGACTCGGCCAAATTTATTATGATTTTGATGACTCCAGAACCTTGCAGTGCACACCAATACTTATATGCTAGATGATCAAACTTTTCTGATCCATTCCACACCTTTTCTTTCACAATGCAATCAGATAAACAGAACTCACCTTTACCTTTAAGGAAACATTTTTTCTGTTTTGATAGACATTGGACAGGTAGCCGTCCTTTAAAACCCAACAATTGTATTTTCCAAGGAATTCAAAATATATAACTCTATGGCTCAACATAATGTGCCCGTCCTTTACACCGAACTTACACAAAGAGAGTGATTCAGCGATTTACTTAATTAGCAGTCCAACCCAGTACTTCAAATTATTTGTGAATACCATGTACTACTTTTTTTATCGGCCTTTCAGTCTTAAAGAATGGAGAGGGTGGGGCTTAGTTTATTGCACTGTGCTTTATGTCGGGTCGGGTTTTCGGGCTACCCCCACTTTCGTTAATAATCAAGCCCAAATTTTAATTGAGTCAGAATGTAACGTTTGTAAAATACATCCCTTGTTTAATTTTGTTCCCAAATAGAGATTGCCAATAGAATGTAAATAGAGTAACTTATCTCTCCATATGTCCTTTGAGTGACCCCCCCCCCCCCCACCCCCATATTGGGTCGCACAATTTGTGACAAATTGTGACAATTAAAAAAAAAGACTTTCGTTTTTACCTAAATGACAGAAGTTTCCGCTGAAACCCTCGGCGCAATCGCATTCATCGATCTCACACGTTCCTCCATTTTGACAAGGGTTAGACGGGTCGCATTGAACTGTTGGTAAGAAATAAGAAACACAGTTGTTGATGATAACATCTTTTTCCTTATGAGGTCTATCGAATAAACAGTGAGAAATAAACTTTATAAAACAGACAATTAATTTGTAGCTTTAAAATTCCTTGTTCCTACTATAATAATACTTTCGTTGTTGTGGACATTACTAAAAAGCTTGTTTACGCTGGAATCAATTAATATTATAACATTATATAAACATTGTTATCATACAATTATTTTAACACTAGTCGACGGAGGCAGATAGAGTTAATAGTTAATTTGTACCAAAAGATTTTGTGCCAAAAATCTTGTCAGAAAAATTCCCTCCACAGATAACTCACTTCGATTATTGAGATAGAATTATTCATGTCATCAATGAAATGAAAAATAAGCACAGTTCTAGTTAAAATGGAATTAAATTTGAGAAAATTGCACCAGATATATTGTTGAACCCTTAGTTCACATGTTTTATTTGTCTCTTAATACAGGAGTTTTACTATTCGTTAAGAGACTTGCTAATATGTACTTTTAGATTTACACGACGGGAACGTGGACTGCTCGTGTGACATCCTTTTAAGGCAATGTGGCGTCACTAAATTATGCTTTGTAGTATAGAAAATATAATATACCTGGAAATATTATTCTTGATAACTCTACTATTGAAAGGGTTTCTACAACAAAATTCTTAGGAACAATATTGGATGTGAAATTATCATGGAACCTACATATTGATAACATCTGTAAAATAATTTCCGGAAATATTGGTACATAGAAAACAAAGTTAAGTAATTTTTTCCCCGTCAAAAATATTATGGAATTTATACTCTGCTCTTATTCTTTCTTATTTGAATTATTGAAATCTAGCCTGGGACAACTGTGCAGTCTCGTAATTGGAGAGAATTTTATTACTCATTCAGAAAAAAGCTTGATGTATCATAAGTCATTCAGACTTTCGAGCACAAACAGGTACACTCTATTAATCGAATAGAATTTTAAAGACAAGTGATCTGGGTTTTTTACAATTTTTGAATTTTGTTATGTTTTCACTCGGTTAAACGGAGTAACCGTATATTCTTTTAACAATGTTTAGGGAAAATAGCGAATTACACAGCTTCCCCCACCAGGTTAGTGGGCTCCTATCACCTGTTAAACCTAAGAACCCTACTTGCTAATACAATTTTTTTCAGAACCCAAATTATGGAATTCCAAAGATTTGAAAGAGAGACCTACTTTATATAGTTTCAGAAATGAACTTAAACGTTATTTTCTCCAGAAGTGTGACAAATGACCCAATAGACAAATGAATAGGTGAATTGATTTCGGTTCGCTTTTTCATCTCCAACCTATGCCTAGCATGTCTAGAGAATATACCAATCTCATCTCACTCTATGCTACTGCTATCTGCTTCGCTTTACTTCTCACTTCATCTGTCTGCCCCCTCTCTCTCCAAATTTGAATTCTTTTTTTATTTTGTAAATCTTCCTGTGAGATGATCAGAGAGTCTTTATTAGACACAAATTAAAGTCACCTGAGCTTACCCAGTTGCGACAAGGAATATAATAAGTAGCATTTCATACTCAAATTACGCAGTTTTTTTGTCAACCTTCAACAATGTTACCGAGTCACTTTAATCTACAAAAATGTAAATTACAAAAATTATGAACAATAGAATTCATTGCTATAATTTCATTTTAAAGATAAGCGCAAATATGTATGGCAAACCATTACCATAGATACCAAACAATTAATAGTAGTAACTGACAAGTGTAAGTGGTCAATTAAAAGAAATCCGTTGATTTTACCCGAATTCCTTTTGGAATAAAACTCTTTTTATTCGACAATGTGTACTTTACAATAAAAACATGACTACATTAAATAATGTACCTTTCCCTATCTCACGAATAGTTTTTGAGATTTCGAATATCCAACTTCCTGGTACTCCATAGTTACTAGTTAATATCAGATCGACATCAGAAAAAGCATCGCCAATAAGCAGGTGACCATTCTCGTTAAGATCCAACGAAGCCTTGATAAAGATATACAAATAATAATGATGATGATTTTCGTGGTGATGGTGATGACGATAATATTGATGATGATGATGATGACAATGGTTGTGATGATAGTGTTGATGATGATGAATGTGATGATGATAATGGTTGTGGTGTTGATGATGATAATTAAGATGATGAAGATATGTATGATGATGGTGATTCAATTCAATTCAAGTGTAGGATGATGATAATAATGACGATGTTGTATTGGTGTTGATATTGATGATAACAAAGTATTGATGTGATTCCTTCTGTTATCTATTAAATAACATCATGTTATTAGGAAGATTTGAAACAAAATACAATCTTCTATTAACTCACAATTTCGTACAAATTAGCAATGACAACTTTTTTATAATGATTTTATACATTTTAAACGTCAGATGCAATCTTAAAGCATATAGCTTTAATTGTAAGTCAACTTATTGAAAATCAAAACATTCTTTCAGGACCATTTCCTAATAAATGCCGTACAACTTGCTCTATAAAAAGTAATAGTTCTTTTGAACTTGACATCAGTTATAAAAAACTATGCTTCATAGAAATCAAATCGACAGTCAGTAATATTTTCTCCTTTAGGAGGCATATATCTGTTTTTTAATTTACTGTTGATGATAAATTCAAACATATCTCTTTCTTCCCAATAGACTGATGTTTAATATTTCCTTCAATGAGGGAAGAAAGCAAATATACGAATGATTACATGTAAATTAACATTTGTTTTTTGTATCAAAGAAAAGATGGTATATAACGTGTTCTGAAAAAAGTTAAAATTGTAAATTTAATGCGTAATTTTTTTATCTGTTCTTAGACTGTTTGTTTGATTGATTGTTTTTTTTTTTGTTATTTGGTTTTATTTGTGCTGCCACTATTACTTACTTCATAGCCAACCCATTCGATTCTCTCATAGTTAAAGATAGCGTAAGTCAGCTCGCCATCTGTTCCAATAAGTAGTTGAAACGTACTTGTCTGGACACCAACAAATAAAGGGGGAAAAACCCATAAAAGAAGTTTATTTCATTTTCAGGCCGCCATTACCCCCCCCCCCCTCCCCTCCCCTCCCTTGAATCGTCTCACAATATTCCGAGTCCACGACTGTAATCTGGAGAAACTAAATCTAAGCTGACGTCTCCGAAAATAGAAACTGTTAATGAGCTACTTCAAATTCATAATTCTTAAAGCGTTAGGTTTGGTATAACATTTATTTCATTTATCATGGTTTCTATCATGATTGATTTGAAGAAATGAGAAATGAATATATGCAAACCCTTGGGCCTCCAACTTCAGGTACATTTATCCATGATACAACCACAATTCTGAGTAAAGAACGGCCGAGAAACTCTGGTGAAGCATCACGAATTGCACGCTCAGCTTCTCTGAATGTTCTGTCGTCAGTTCCTTGTTCTGATGTCCTGAAGGTTCATGAATGTCACAAAAATGAATAATTTAAACAAAGCGAGTTATTTCATTTTTAGATAATCAAAGCGGTATCATTAGTGATAACAACATTTTCCAAATTAAAAAGAGGTAGGTACAGATTTTAAAAAAGAACTAAAATAAAACGAAATGTAAATCACAGCGGGTTCACCTTAAACCAGGCGTACTGAAACATTTTAATCCGGGAGGAGGGAGCAACGACAATATTTACTTGTAAATTTTAAGTTTTTGTCAGCAACCGAAGAGAACAAAATTAAAAAGATACTTTATTTGGTAAAACATGTTATTTTGTCATAAATATACTAGTCAGGTCAATATATGGTAAAAAAATACCCCAACCCCCCAAAAATTGCAACAAAAGGTTTTTCAAACCGTCTTCACTCACACACCCCCCGTCTTCACTCATTCACCCCCCGTCTTCACTCACACACCCCCCGTCTTCACTCAAGCACCCCCCGTCTTCACTCACACTTCTAGTGAGAGGAAAAAAAAACCAGTATCCTCTTATCACTTGTGATAGACCTCAAGGAGGAGACCGTCCCTGGTAGCACTCAGTGTGAGGGGACGACCGACTTGTGTGGATACAGGTAAACGTCCTGGTTTCACCTTTTCGCCGGTGGGGGTGACTAGCTGACAACCAAATTTGTCAGCTACGAACGAACCAGGGTGGCTAGGAGAGGACCGACTCACCCGCCTAGCTAGTTTGAGCGAAACTACTTCATGATGAAAAGCCATAAAAGCACCAGGGTTAAAGCCCCTGCCTCTACTAATTTGCCACTTCTTTCCGGGGGCCTACAGAGAGTAGTGCAACATGACGTGCCAACTCCAAAGCCAATTGGAAGAGATGGTGTTGATAAACCACGGAAAAGAGATGCTTTACTAACAACAAAAAAGACAATTGGAATAGGAACCTGGAATGTGAGAACGCTACATCAACCAGGGAACCTCGAAATCCTACTTCACCAACTAAACAACTTTAAATGGGAGATAGTAGGTGTATCAGAAACACATTGGACTGACAAGGGAGAGTTTACCTCTGAAGGGTACAAAGCACTATGCTCAGGAAATGAAACCCTACACAGAGGGGGTGTAGCACTGATTCTGAACAAAACAGCCCAGAACTCACTCCTAGGATATCATCCTATTTCATCCAGATTGATCACTGCCAGATTCCAGACTCAAGCAGGTGCCATCACAGTGATCCAAGTTTATGCCCCAAATACAGCTGATAATGAAGAACTAGTAGACGAATTCTATGACCAACTTCAAGAAGCAATCAATTCTGCACCAAAGAAAGACATTCTGATAGTGATGGGGGATCTAAATGCAAAAGTGGGAGACAGTTACTCACAATGGAAACAAGTTCTAGGCCAACATGGGTTTGGAAAGGCAAATGCCAGAGGAGAGAAACTACTCAATTTTTGTGCAGCGAATGATCTTGTTATCACCAATACCATGTTTAAACAAGCCAAAACAAGTAGAAAATGGACATGGGAATCACCTGATCAAAAGACTCACAACAAGATAGACTTCATAATGATTAACAGCAAATGGAAAAGCTCAATCAACAACTCCAGGAGTTTCCCCAGTGCTGACATAGGCTCAGATCACCAGTTAGTCATTGCAAACTTAAGACTGAGATTTAAAGTTAGAGGAAAACCCAAGTTTCTAAAGCGATATGATGTCTTCAAACTCAAAGAAGCAGACGTCCGCTCAAATTATGAAATAGAAATTGGAGGAAGGTTTGGCCCACTTCTAGATGATGAAAACACAGATGTGGAAAATCTATGGGAAGGCATCAAGTCAGCATACAACGAGACATCGACCAAACTTCTCGGAAACAGAAAGAGTCAACTTCAGGACCCTTGGATAAGCGAGGAGGTGCTCCAACTAAGTGACCAAAGGAAAAGGGTTAAGCAGGAGAAGTTAAGTGATCCTACAAAGAGAGCCCACTATAATTTCCTAAACAGGGAAATAAAGAGAAAGACAAAAGGATGTAAGGACAGATGGATTCAAGATCTATGTAAAAAGGTTGATAAGGCACACCAAGCAGCTAAGTCCAAAGAAGTCTACTCAACAATCAAGAAACTCACTAGGAAACCAAATATCAAGATGCAAACAGTAAAGAGCAAAGATGGACAAGTACTGACAGAGATAGAGGATGTAAAAAGGAGATGGAAAGAAAGTTATGAAGAACTTTATAACAACCAGAATCCCATCAACAAGGATGCAACTGAGGGAATTGCACAGATGACTAGTATGGAGGAAGAGCCTGAAATACTTAAAGAGGAGGTCATTAGTGCTATCAAAAGGATGTCAGATGGAAAGGCCCCAGGCTATGATAGTATAACAGCAGAGGAGTTAAAAGCATCCGGAGAGAGTGGCACTGACATCCTTCACAAACTCTGCAACCTAATCTGGAGAAAAGAATCTTTCCCAACTGACTGGGGCAGAGCCATTATAACACCTATATTCAAGAAGAAGGATAAGCTAGATTGCGGAAACTACCGGGGAATCAGCTTACTTAGCCATGCAGGAAAGATATTTGCATCAATCCTTCAACGAAGAATCCTGAAGAAGACAGAGGAAATTTTATCAGAGTCCCAGGCAGGTTTCAGACCAGGGAGATCAACCATAGACCAACTGTTTACTCTAAGACAAATTGCAGAAAAGCACCTTGAAAAGAACAGAAGTCTGTTTTGCTGTTATATAGACTTCGAGAAGGCATTCGATTCAATATGGCAGGAAGGACTTTGGAAAGCTATGAGATTCTTTGGCTACTCCAATAAGACAATCTGTCTCCTAAAAGCACTATACAAAATCTCAGCTAGTGCAGTCAGGGTAAATGGCGAACTTACAGACTGGTTCCCAACAACTGTGGGTGTACGCCAGGGCTGTGTATTATCACCACAGCTATTCAACATCATCCTAGAAATGGTTATGTTACATGCCACCTATGACATCCCTATTGGAATAAACATCCAAGGCCATCTGATCAACAACCTCCGCTTCGCAGACGACATAGTTCTTCTTGCATGCAACGAAATAGATCTCCAGTCCATTGTAGATTGTGTACAACAGTGGAGCTCAAACTTTGGCCTCAAAATTAATATTGCCAAGACAGAGGTCCAGGTCATCAGTAAACAGCAGCAAGACATTAACATCAGCATAGGTGGAACCAAACTACTACAGGTGGAAAAGTTTGTTTACCTGGGAGGTACCATCACTCAATCAGGAAAATGCACAGAGGACATAAAGAACAGAATTGGAAAAGCCCTGGGTGCTGTTCAAAGTCTTCACAGCATATTGACAGCCAAAGACATTAGAGATGTTACAAAACTTCAACTATATAAGGTACTCATCCTATCCATCCTTATGTATGGATCAGAAACATGGACACTGAAAAAAGAAGACGAGAACAGGCTCCTTACCTTCGAAATGATCTGCCTCCGAAAAATCTTGGGGGTAACCAGACTAGACAGAATAAGGAATACAACAATTCGGAAGACTCTAGGACTGGATGAAACCATTCTGGACAAAATAGCCAAAAAACGGCTACGATTCTTTGGCCACGTTAACAGGATGAGACCGTCACGATACCCAAAGATACTCCTAACTTCTGATATCCATGGTGATAGACCCCGGGCAGACCAGCCAAGAAATGGATAGATTGTATAAAGGCCGATTGTGCTACTAGATGTCTGGGATCCCTCACAGAAGCGACCAGAACATCACAAGACAGAAAGATCTGGCTTGACGTCATGAAGCAGAAGCCATCACACATCTCCCAGATGGTGCGGAAGGCTTAGGTCAAGGTAGGTCAAGGTCTAGTAGTATTTGACCTCAGGAATAACACACTAAAAGTAGACCAAAATCGAAGGTTCAGAAAGCTGTTTTTTCAAGATGGCGTCCAAGATTGCCGCCTATACCTTAAAATGGCCACAAATCACTTATTATTCATCCTAGAGACATAATTTGGGTGTCTATCTCATGGTTTCGGGGGTCAGAGAATCCATTGAGACAAGTAAGAATGGTTTGTGATGGTCTACGAAACCCCAAAATCCAATATGGCGTCCAAAATGGCCGCCATAACATAAAAATGGCCATAAGTCACTTATTATCCATCCGAGAGACATAAGTGAGGTGTCTATGCTACTGTTTTCGGGGTCATAGAATCCATTATGATAAGTTCGAACGTTAAGCAGTGGTTTAGGAAACCACAAAATCCAATATGGCGTCCAAAGGGCAACAAAACCACTAAGATTTCTCAATAGAGGGCGCACTTTATGAACAGGAAATTAATGTATAATGTTTCTCTCTCACCCTAATGGCGTCACCCCTCCCCCCCCCCCCCCCTCCCCCAAAAGGAAAAGGGTAAATTCAACTATTGACAGGTCATTGTCAACACTGAGGGAGGGGGCCGAGGGCCGAGGGGTGACAAAGACAAACTAACAACTAATAATGATATCTAGACATAATACCTACCATACAATTAAAAATGTTTAAAGACACTCAGTAGTCAGCTCTTATGGGGAATTCGACACCGTTCGGGTGTTTACCCAATAACAGGTGTTGTCAATCACCAGGGTTAGCCTTCAGTTGTATGACCATTAGACCTTATGTAATGCTTTGCTTTCCCCTCACCCTATCTACTCTTGAGTATTCTCCGAGAGATTAGGGGGAATTCTTGACTGGCCTAGCTACGGGTTTGCTGTGTGCGGTTTTGCCGTTAATAGTATTTCCACCAAGTCTGGTGTCAGCAAATTATGGCCTTCTGCACATGGAAACTGATGCGTGACTCCCTTTAAAACCTCGTGTTGTTCATGTCATCTTATAGCGAATACACATGCAGATCTTCAAGTTCCTTCATTTTGATGAGGAATATACTTTAGTAAGGAAAAATCATCTTCTGCTTATATCAAGTGACTCGTTATATGGATTGTGGCATACATCAAGTTGGGAAGGTCCACACACACACTCTGTTACTTGTAGTCCGTAACCTCTGCATGTATAGTGATGTGTGCATGCTACAAGCAGTAAAGAAGTCGCAATGAATCAACTCAAGGAGATTACTATAGGTGCAGCCTCCGTATTTGACATCAGTGGAACCAGATGCTTGTCCTGTAATTTCCAGCCCCAGTCTGTGACGTCCATTTCTTCTTACTCTCCATCCATCCCTAAACATGGGCTTTACTTCCAGAAAAATTGTATCGTAATGATGCAACTGAGTCATTACAGCGGTCACCAAACATGACAGACATTGCTTTGATACCAAGTTCCTCTAAGTTAGTTACTTTGGCTGACTTGGTAGAAGGAAAGTACTAGCACAGGATTCCAAAGTGAGGTTGCATTTCACAAGCTTCTGGAAGACTGCTTTCTTTCCTATTCCGAATATTTGGGAAGTCGGATCACAATCGGTGTAGGCATCCAGAAAAAGTAGTTGTGAGCACAGATCACGTACCCAGGCCCCCTCTTCCAACTGCTTACAATTCTACAACTTTCGGAGCCGTGGCTGCATTATAAGAGTGGAAGTATAGTTCCCTGCTATCTGTTCCAAGGATTTTGCGAAGTCCAGTTCCTTTCATCAGGGTACCGATTGCTTCCAGCTAAATCTTGAAGGTTTGGAAGCAACCTAATTGCAGTCAACGAACGTTGTGTACAATGTCGGAGACAGAACCCCACCTTGCCGGACCCCTTGAGATATGGGAATTTGGTTGCTGGCCTTGCCCTTCCAG